GGACGTCTCTATTCGGAGAAATGCCAGTGGGCATGGGGTGGTCCGGTGTCTTTACAATGCGTACCTTTTTTCAAAAAGTGGGGGCCAATGGACAAAGTTAGGCTTTGCTTTGAGGGAGCGAAGCTCAGTGGCAGAAGAAGAAGAAGAAGAAGAGTTTGGATTTGATATCCCGCCTTTCACTCCCTTTAAGGAGTCTCAAAGCGGCTAACATTCTCCTTTCCCTTCCTCCCCCACAACAAACACTCTGTGAGGTGAGTGGGGCTGAGAGACTTCAAAGAAGTGTGACTGGCCCAAGGTCACCCAGCAGCTGCATGTGGAGGAGCGGGGAATCAAACCCAGTTCCCCAGATTACAAGACTACCGCTCTTAACCACTACACCACACTGGCTCTCAGAGCAATTGCTTCACATGCAGAAGGCCTCAGATGCAATGTTTTGCATGGAGAAGGAAGTCCCAGGTGCAGTCTTAATGTCTTAATGACCATCTGTCAGGGATTATTAAGATGTGGTTCCTGCATTTCAGAGGGAGGAATACGATGACCCTCGCGGCCCCTTCCAAAACTAAAGGGAAGTTGACTTCCAATTAATCTTGAAGATATGACCACTAATGAGGTGATCTCCTTGCTGGTGATAATTCACAGCCAGATGTTTACATAGCTGTCAACTTTCCCCTTTTCTTGCGAGGAATCCTATTCAGAATAAGGGAATTTCCCTTTAAAAAGGGGAAACATTAACAGCTATGGATTTTTATCCTCAATCAAATTCAGTGGACATTTTGCCCTCTGCTGCATTTCTGTGGTCGGCCTACTACACTTCCCTTCTGACTATTCCTCTCAGCTCAAGCCACTAATTAGGGGGAAAAACACCCAAATTCTTGCAAGACAGAGGCTTCACTGACCTCACAAATATGGGGTTGTTCAGCTCTGGCTTCAAAGCCAAAAAGGGAATGAGGTGAAGGGTCATAGCTTCTGTGGTGGAGCATCTTTTTTTGCACCCAGAACAGTGGTGTCCAAACTTTTTTCAAAGAGGGCCAGATTTGATGGAGGGCCGACCAAAGGGCCGACCTTTGTGGTTGACCTTTTTTTAGGGTTGAGTTTGTTGAGCTTTGTTTTAGGATAAACAGGAGATAAACTGCCACAGGAGCCAGATTAAACCAACCAGCAGGCCAGATCAGGCCCCGAAACGGACTTTGGACATACCTGACCCAGAAGGTGCCAGGGTCCACCTCTGCTAACTGCTCCAGGTAGGACTGAGGATGTTCTTGACCTGGAGAGCTGCTGCCAGCCAGAAGATAGCACTGAGCTAGAAGGCAGCTTCCTATTGATTACGCTCCACAAGGACCTATCTCCTGCGCCCTTTCACCTGCCCTATATCTTGACTGCATGGATTCTGTGACATGCAAGATATTTTATACATCAAACAATATATTTTATACACCAAACTTTTCAAGCACAGTGGAGTAAATAACCTCCTTCTGCCCTTAATTGTGATGTTTTCATTGTTGTTCCCAAAGGTAACATTTGAAGGGTGTACAAGGGAATCACTTTGATTATGGGAAGGATAAGAATAGATCACTGTTCTGATTATTGTAAGGGGAAGAAATATCTCTTCTGAAACTTTATGGGAGCAGGTGGAGAACAGGAGAAAAACATGTTGACTCAGGAATCTGACATGGTTCAAGGAGGAAGAAAGTGCTGTATGATGGACATCAGAAGAGCCCTGAAGCTGGATCAGGCCTAAGGCCTATAAAGTCCAGTATCCCGTTCTCAAAATTGGCAACCACCTGCCCCAAACAGAAGCCCATAAGCTGGAGATGAGTGCAGCAGCACTTTCTCTAAATATGTTCCCCAACAACTGGTACTCAGAGCATCCTCTCTCCAATATTGGAGGGGAAACATTTCTTCAATTGCCAGGAGCTATTGTCAAATGAAATTCCTCTCCTAGTCCCCCTCAATTTTTCTCAACCAAGTAGCCCAATTTAGGGTTTGGATGGGCAAGGTCTTGTTGTCGTTGTCATGAAGAGTTTTAATTTAGGGTCATTCCTCTGACAGTGTGAGGATAATCAAACAGAGATGTCTAACTGCAAACAGCTCCTTCTAGCTGTTCTACAAATTCTAGACTGGTGAGTGGTTTGCCAGCTGTTAAGACTATACAGGAAGGCACCAGAAATAGGTAATAGAAAGATATTTTATTTTAAGAATCAGAGTCCTAATACAGAAAATAAATCTGCAGGTCAGTGTGACCAGAAAAGAAGGGAGTGTCTTTAACAGCCCGACTCACCATTAAAGGACTCAGAGCCCCTCAAGTTTGTGATAGGTCAGAGAAAAATGAGCTGAGTCAAGATCCTGTGAAAGCAAGGCAGATCTTTATTATTCTGTTGCAACAGAAGTTCCCCTACCAGCTTTGATAGGAGGTGAGGACCCAGGACAAAGATGTGCAAGAACTTCTAAAGGTTTTAGAAATTGCCTGGTCCCTTAGCCAAGGACCACCCAAGGAAGCATCATAAATGTATCACAGAAAGCGGTGTTCTACAACAGAAATGTGAGAGTATGGCTTGTCTCAGAAGAAGATGCTCTATTGACATGTCTGCTCTGCTTAACAGATACCTGCCAGACTGGTTTTGCATAGGAGCAGGTCTCTTCATTCCAAATGTTGTTGTTTAGTCGTTTAGTCGTGTCCGATTCTTTTGACTCCATGGACCAGAGCACGCCAGGCACTTCTGTCTTCCATTGCCTCCCGCAGTTTGGTCAGACTCGTGTTTGTAGCTTCGAGAACACTGTCCAACCATCTCGTCCTCTGTCGTCCCCTTCTCCTTGTGCCCTCAATCTTTCCCAACATCAGGGTCTTTTCCAGGGAGTCTTCTCTTCTCATGAGGTGGCCAAAGTATTGGAGCCTCAGCTTCACGATCTGTCCTTCCAGTGAGCACTCAGGGCTGATTTCCTTAAGAATGGATGCGTTTGATCTTCTTGCAGTCCATGGGACTCTCAAGAGTCTCCTCCAGCACCATAATTCAAAAGCATCAATTCTTCGGCGATCAGCCTTCTTTATGGTCCAGCTCTCGCTTCCATACATCACTACTGGGAAAACCATGGCTTTAACTATACGGACCTTTGTTGGCAAGGTGGTGTCTCTGCTTTTTAAGATGCTGTCTAGGTTTGCCATTGCCTTTCTCCCAAGGAGCAGGCGTCTTTTAATTTCGTGACTGCTGTCACCATCTGCAGTGATCATGGAGCCCAAGAAAGTAAAATCTCTCACTGCCTCCATTTCTTCCCCTTCTATTTGCCAGGAGGTGATGGGCCCAGTGGCCATGATCTTCGTTTTTTTGATGTTCATTCCAAATAGTTTATTTATTTATAGGATTTACATGAGAAAGTGAACTATTTGGAAAGGTCCTTTATCCCCCAAGACACTTCCTTCCACTGCAGAGAAACATTTGGGGTCATTTAAGGGACCCCTGCACCGTTTCTGAATCCGGTTTATGTAGCTATGTTTGTGTGCCCACTCTGTATATTTATGAACATTTATTTTATTATTTGGACACCTTAGAATTAGAGGAGATGGCAGTATGCTATGGTAGATTCTTGTGCAACGTAAGAGAAAAAGGGATTAATATAAACTGGCACATGCAAAGCTGCAAAGACGTTTCCAGATTCTGCCCAGGTTCATTTATTTCTGAAGGGGAGAGAACCTCTTCACGCAAAAAGCTCCAGGTTCTGTTGCCTTTGTGATGTCATTTGTGATGTCAAACTGTTCAGATTCCCTTCGGTTAGCATAGATTCCAGGACATACCTACACAAGGTCATTATCACATACATCCCACATTCTGCCCAAAACCTTAGCCAAATTCCCCTTTCTTTATGTCTGACTCTCACACCTTTACTTCTCCTGAGACTACTCATCTCCTTTCTATCTAAAATCAAGGTCCACATCCTGTCCAAAACCGTTTCAGTCACGTCCTTCCATGTATTAAATTTTCTCCCAGCCTTGCACTTTTATTCCTCATCAAGATCCATTTGCTGAAAATATTTATCTTCCGCAAACTCTTTGTAAATGAGCATCAACTTTGCAGATTCCCATAAGACCTTATACCTATGTCCTTGATGGTGAGCGAGGAGAGACTTTGTGCTGGTCATCAGGCAATGGTGTTTCCACTGCCTTGCCTTACCCTCCAGCCCTAGGAGCCTTCATGAGGGAGCTGTTTCCAGAGGAAGAACTGTGAGGGGGGAGAGATTTGTCTGCCATCATGCAGTGCTTGGTTTCACCTGTGCTGTCACACCTCCAGCCCAAGGAACCTTCAGAATGGAGTTGCTGACATAGGCATTATGTGTCTTGTGAATGCTATAATATAATATTTTTAGGTGTTTTGTTAACAGTGTTTTATAAATTGTACTTGATTTACTGATTATTAGTAATGGTTTCACCAACGAGCTGTAATTGTTTTACAAATGAATTGTTCACTATTCCCTATAATTCTATATTTGTGTTGTTCTATTAAACTATTGTTATTTATTGTTTATAAGCTGCCCTGCGGTTCATTCGAACAAAGAGGGGCGTAGAAATATAATTAATCAAATCAAATGTAGCTGTCTAAATGCGACTTTATTCTAATTTAGCTAAGTTTATTTAGTATTTTAGCAATTCAGTTTGCAACTTCTAAAGCAGCTTATGCAATTCAGCTAAGAGTAATGCGCAGTTTAACTCAAGAGAGAAGAGGCTGTCACAGGAATGATCTCAAGCAACAATGCATATCTTCACAGTTGCTGTTGTTGAAGAACCAGGTATCAGAACCTCTTAGAGGTCTTCTGAATATTATCCAGAGATCCACCAGTAGATGTTTACCTGCTTCCCATCACATGTGAGGCTAAGGCAACCATGGTAAGCACACTATTGGATCTTTGCCTCACCATATACATGGCTAGCTGCACATTGCAGCCAATATTCTGGTGTGGACTTCTAACTACAGTTCCATGATATCCCTAGAGCTAACAATCAAATATCATATTTAGCTGTTTCTGGTCTTTCTCATGTTCAGATCAGGCCTCAGTATAATAATGTAGCATTTGGGAAGGAAGATGCATCCTAGAAGCCCAGCACTGGAGGCCAAGATAGAGAAGACCTGAACGGCTACCATGTATTTCCCCTTGGTGCTCAGGTAAGTGGGCACAAAGGACACCCAAACACTGCAGAAGACCAGCATGCTGAAGGTGATCAGCTTGGCTTCATTGAAGGATCCTGGAAGCTTTCTGGCTAGGAAAGCCACTGTGAAGCAGATGGCAGCCAGGAAGCCCATGTAGCTGAGGGAACCATAAAACATGGCCACAGACCCTTCATTGCATTGCAGGATGATCTCCCCAGGTTGGGAGTGCTTGTCAGAGTCAGGGAAAGGAGGAGATGTCCCCAGCCAGATCGTGCAGATGAGAACTTGCACACTGGAACAGGAAATGACAATGGAGTGGGCCAAACACTTCCCCAGCCATCTCCTCGCCCTGCTCCCTGGCTTAGTGGCCAGGAAGGCCAGCACCACAGTGATGGTTTTTGCCAAGACGGAAGAGACAGCAACTGAGAAGATGATGCCAAAGGCTGTTTGGCGCAAAAGGCAGGTCCCTTTTCTTGGCTGGCCAATGAAGAGGAAGGAGGACAAAAATGAGAGAAGGAGGGAGATGAGGAGGATGTAGGAGAGATCCCTATTGTTGGCTTTGACTATGGGAGTTGCTTTGTATTTAATAAAGATTTCTAACACAAAAACTGTGGCTAAGGATATGAGGATGGCAAAGGAAGCTAGGATGCTCCCCAAAGGTTCTTCATAGGACAGGAAGGTGATTATTTTGGGTACACATTGATTTTTGTCTTTCTTTGGATGCTGATCTTTTGAACATTTGGTGCATTTGGCAGTATCTGCAGAGAGAAAAAGAGACTTCAGTATCCTAACAGCAGTTGTAAACCAAGCTAGGCATATGGGGAAGGTAGGCATATGGGAGAGATAAAAAAAGAACACAGTTTTGTTGGGAAAGAGAGAAGCAAAAGTTCACTGGCAAAAACATCTCGATCCATGGTCTCATCCACCAAAATAGATCATGTGGAGCATGGCTAGAAAAGCTTGGCCTGTGAGATATTTCAGAAGAGCTTCTATTAAGTGTAAACTGGTGCTGAGAACCTCTGGCCACTGGATTAAACTTAGCTCAGCAGGTCACCCTATTTGGTGATGCCACTTTTTGAGTTGTGTGATGGGTAGGGCCTCAAAGGCATGATTGTGAGCTTAAGGAATGTAGACTTTCACTGACCATCAGCTGATGCATGTGTGCATTGGTCAAAGAGGTGGACATGCTTTCCCCCGGTTAAAACTGCTTATCCCTCCTAGTGCTGCTCTTTGAACTTCCAAAATCCCGAGAGGCATTCCACTCATGGGATGCCATTACAAACATCATGCTTAGGTTGGCTCAAACCTTTGCCCCATCCTCCCAGGTAAGACGGTTTTTTCTGAGGTCTTGGCCTACCTTCCTGAGTGGAGATGGTCCCTTCTGAGCAGGGAGTGCAATCATAGCAGCAGGGGGGCTTCCCTTCCTGAATCTTCTTGACATATCCAGGGTGACAGCTCTGTGAGCATCTTGAATGAGGCATGGTCTAGGCAGAAATTGAGGAAGGAGAATCAATGAGAAACGATTAGGAGCATTTGTGCTTTTGGAAACAGATCGCAGTGTTTTGGCAAGATTGTGGAAAACATGTATTTGCTTCCAATGGCCATAAGTGACCCTAGGCCCTATTTTGGCAGGTGATTAATAATTGCCAGCTCTGATTAATATTTGTGGGTGGGTGCAGGGTGTCCCTGTTAGAATTCCTGCTACTTGATTTCAGTCATAGGATTGTTGTCTATCACATGACAGTATATGTTTTGACACCAGAGTGTGGGAAGTGACGAAGACAGGATGTCTGTGTTACTGTGTTCCGTGAAATGGGACTATTGTCCTTTGTTCTTTTTCTCTTTGCTGTCTGATGCTAGAGACAGAGGGAGCCATGTTGCAGTGCTCCATGTGTATTTATATGTAAATAAAGTAGATTAGCCAAAATGCTGAGTTGCTGAGGTCTGTCACGCGAAATGCACAAACTCTGCAGATCCCTAAGTGTGCCAGTGTTGGTTGGCATCGGTCACTGTGATGTTCGGGCAGAAGAAAGCTTTTGAAGCTCCCAAACGATCGGCCAGGAGGGAGAGAACATGCCAGTTGGGCATGTGTCTCTACCAGGATCCTACTCGAGTGTAGGCTGAACTCCTGACAGTCCCTACAGGAAATACATGCTGTCCTCTGGATATTCTGAACAGATTGGGAAGACCTTACATTTGGGAAAGCTATTTGACTGTGCTTAGGAAAGTCTCCTATTCACTGTGAAATCTTATACATACTCAAGAGGCTGTTCCATTCATCTCAGTGACTTTGCTCAAGGGAAGTACAGTGGCACCTCGGTTTAAGAACAGTCCTGTTTACAAACTATTTGGTGTATGAACTCCACAAAACTGGTTTCATAGCTTTACCTCGGTCTAAGGATGAATTTGAACAGTGGAAGAGCACCAGCGGCGGAAGGCCTCATTAGGGAAAGCGCACCTTGGTTTAAGAACAGTTTTGGTTTAAGAACGGACTATCAGAATGGATTAAGTTCATAAACCGATGTACCACTGTATCAGTAAAATCACAGTCAAAGTCTCATATGTGCAATTCAACAAGCTATTAGAGCCTAGCAGATGTCACAAGTAATAAAATGACATATCATTTCTCCATACCTTGTTAAAGGCCAGGGGCCAGACAATTGCTTCTCGGTTGATGGTCAACTTTACCTCTGAGGATGCCTGTTTCTCTACTTCCCCAATCTTCACTCTACCATGAGAGGTATTGGGAAACAGCACCCAATTCACAATATCGAAGTCTACAGCCAGTGCCCCATTCTCATCCAAGTACTGTCCATCAGGTGAAGTATTAGAATAGAGATGCACTTCTTTCAAGAATGGATGAAGCTACAACGACAGAGGAAACTCCAGCACTAAGAGAACATGAAAACATTTGGGATAATTCACTTTCCCTGTCAGTCAGTCAATATAGACAATGCTACTTGTTAGACCAATACAGACAATGCTACTTGTGAGACCAATGGTCTGACTCATTTTAAGGCAGCTTCCTATGTTCCTAATATGGTGATTCCAGAGCTGGGACAATGAACAGTAGTTTGCGAAAGGAAAAGGACATACCTGCCATGGCTGAATCTTTTGAAGTCCCAACAGGTCTCCTCCACCCATCAGTGACATCCGCTTTGATCTGGATGAATATGCTGCATGTAAGGCCTGAGCAACGGCTAGGATACTGAAGTAATGAACATAGCTATCTTGGGAATGAACCTGTTCAATAAATTCCTGCTGGATCATCACATTCTCCGCCTCCCTGCATCTTGTCCAACCTCTCACAGACAAGGCATGTTTGGAATATGAACATTCAAATTCTTCTTGCCAAAGAGCCAAAAAAGAAGGGAATATTGGTTTGGAGTCGTCCTTTTTTGTCCTTGTTTTGGTCTTCATTACAAAGGACAAAGAACCATGGGCATACCGGAAGGATTCCGTCTCATAGAACAAGACTGTGTTCTCAAGAGCGGTGATTATCCAGACTTTCCCCCCAGTTTCTATCCTTTCAAGCAAGGTTTGTACCTCCATGATTGTGAAAAGTCCATATTGAGAGTCTGTACAGTAAACAAAGACATTGACTTGTCTCCACATGGCAGGGGCTTCATGGGGTAACCACAGCCAGGTTTGTAGTAGTACTCTTTTTGTGAAGGCAACACAGATTTCCTTTTGATCATTAGGGATGTCAAGATACTCAGGAACCTTTCTCCATTGTCATTGTCTGGAGCAAAGAGACCAACCCACGTCCACCTGAAATGCAGGAGGAGTTGGATAATTCCCAGGTACTGAGTTTCTTCCTTTGAGACCATCTGGTAGATGAAAGGGGACTGGACTTTATCATGAAGAACAAAGCCATAACTGAGCTGTTGAAGAAAAGAAACTGGTGTTTTGTTTCTCAGGACAAAGATTGGATACCTCTGTGTGAATCAAATTAAATTAAATTAAATTAAATTAAATATGATGAAATATTTAATTAGCATAAGCCTCAATTTTTTTTGAAATTTCATATATATGCAATTTATTTATCAACTAATGGCAATTGTCTCTAAGCAGTTTAGAAAAACACAACAGAACAAAATTATGAATGCAAAAGTCTAAAATCAAACAAAATTAAAATGCATCCTGCAATACAATAAAGCCTTCAGTAGGACTGGGAGGTCAGTCTACCACGACACCCAGAGGGGTTTCTACATCATGCACAGCTCCTCCATATTGAAATCCTATGAAAAAATAGAGTTGTGTGTTATCAGCATGGACTGCAGCATTAGGACTGTTTTCCAATGGTCTCTTTTGAATATAACCACCTCATCTCCAATATCTTTTTCTGAACTTTTTCCAATTCTATAATACACTGTTTGAGGTGTGTCAAAAACCAATGTACACAGTCTTCCAAAGGCAGTGGCCCCATAGGTCTGTATAACTATATTATGAGATTGACAGGTTTATTTTAAATTCCTTTCCTGATGGTGTACTTAGCATGGAATTTGCTTTTACATGACTGCTGTGCATTGAGTCAACATCTTCACTGACCTATCTACTAAGACCCCGTGGTCTCATTTCTGTTCAGTCAATGCCAGTTCAGAACCCAGGAGCAAACATGTGAAATTAAGGTTGTTTCCCCCCTCAGCGTGCATGAATTCACACTTGTTTATATTGAATTGCATGTGCCTTTTTATTTGGAGTTCTTTGGAGCTCTTCACAATCTGTTTTTGGTTTAACAATCTAGAACAATTTAGTATGATCAGAAAACTTGGCCATCTCACTGTTCACTCCTAAATTCAGATCAGTCCTGATACCAATTCTTGAGGTACTCCACATTCAACATCCCTCTGTTTGGAGAAATTCCATTCACCTAGTTGCTGGGTGGCAGTTGTGGTGCCATGCGGCTCATTACTGGTGTCATGCCATTTCAGTCTCCATTAGCCAGAGGTTGTTTGCTGGAGACAGATTCACACATCCATTCTCTTCAGTAGTTTCAAACAAAGGGCACACACCCAAACATGGATGTCTCCCAGATTTACATAGGCATGGACCTCTAATACTATCTTTTTCATGTGACTGAACCAGTAGACATACACATACAGTTTCATGATACAACCCCATTAATGATTAGCCTAGCAAGCTCTTCTTCAGCTTCAGTGGAAATTTCCAACCATGCCACACGGTATACAATAGTCACACTACAAATTTAGTTCCCATTTCAATGTACATTAAACAATTTTATTTAACAGTTCCTGGAGCTGTAAGAAGAGGTAGCAGCCTCATGGAACAGCGGAGGAAACCTTTCCCATGCCAAGCTCAATATCACTAAGAACACTTGAAAGTGCCAATTTCTGGCAGGGCAAAATTTATGTAGCAGCGTGCCACAGAGGCTGCAACTGGTTGGGGGGCCAGGGAGCAATAAAATAAATTGCACTAAGCTAAGCATACCTTGCTTTTCTTATGAAATGGAAAATGTTGCTGGGTATGTTTGACTTGAACCCAGTTCTTACCTGTGGTATCTTGTAGATGCCCGACATGCTTGCAATGTGCCTGGAGATATCGGTTTCACCCCCTTCAATAATAGCTAGAAGGTTTCCCCGTCTTCTGCAGCTGTAGTTTGGAAGATTGATTTTCCCACCAGCAAGCAGGTCTGTCAAAGCATCAGTAGTTATTCTTCCATCAAAATAGGTATCATAGATGCTGTAGCCCAGGGTGATGTTGGGTAAGAGCCTGGGGTTACGATTGATCTCCTGAACAGTAAGTGAGAAGGAAAGAACGTGCCAGTTCCTCCCATTCATCAAACTACAGAAACGTGTGTCACATAGTCACCCACCATTCAGTGAAAATGAGTCACAAAGTTGTTTGTATAAATAAATTAAGGCAAACTTGAAAGAAGACCAGTAAGTAGGGCAATGTGGGGCTGATTTGGGGATGCTATTACTGTAGCAGTAATAGCATCTGTAGTATCTTTGCAAAAGAGGAGGATGGAGGCCCATGTCCTGGTAACCTCCTTAGCCATCTGACCAGTTCTGTGGCTACTAGCTGTCAGTGTATCAAAAGATCACTCTAGGAATTATATATCTCACAAAAACTGGTAGTGAGTCAAACCTAGGACAGTAATTCTGTGGATAAAAGTCTAGAAGATTATTGCAGATTGAGAGTAGGAGCCTTCCCATTATTCATGCAAAGTGACGTGGCCTGAGCATTCAGGCTTCCACAATGTTTCATGAGAGACAATGAGATAACTACAGAAAATCTGCAACATTAACACACCTTTTTTAGCTTATAGAAAATAAGTTTACTTTAGAGAGCATGACTTTTTTTTTTAATACTTATAGTGTAAAGCACATTGAAACACTGCTTTTCACCAAGTAAAGTGATGTACAGAAAACTTTTAATAAACCAATGAAACAAATAACAGGTCTCCATCCAATGGCATTATTGTTTAGACTGCCAGGAAGAATTCATCCTAGCTTCAGTCAGTTTCATCTCACAGGTTTAAGAACAAAGGTGGTGTTTGTTGACAGACAGACGGATGCCAGCAATACTCCTACTCAGATGTTCTACTTGTATTTAATTCCTGTGGGTGAGATGCTCCCTTAATCTTCAAACAACAAATATAGTGATTTATCAGTATGGCAAGAGAAGTGGAGAGTATTTAGGAAGAAGGAATATGGCTATACACCATTACTTACTTCTGAAAATCGCTTACTGGGGTGCTGGAAAAGCTGAAGGGAGGTTGACTTCCAATTAATCTTGAAGATATAATTCCACTAATGAGGTGGTCTCCTTCCTGGTAATAATTTACAGCCAAATTTCTATCCTTGATAAGATTCAGTGGACATTTTGCCCTCTGCTGCATCCCATGCGTTGCTAGAGGCAACGAAACAAGCAGCGGTATAGTCATCATCATCATCATTTTGGGTCTGCCTGCTACTCTTTCCTTGTGACTGTTCCTGTCCACACAAGCCGCTAATTAGAAGAAACCCCAAATATTTGCAAGACAGAGGCTTCAGTGACTTGACAAATACAAGGGGTGTTCAGCTCTGCCCAAATTAGGATTGAAGGGAAGGGCCATAGCTCAGTGACGGAGCATCTTTTTCCCACCCAGAAGGTGCCAGGTTCAGTCTCTGCTACCTGATAACAGGTAGAGCTGAGGATGTCCTCTACCTGGAGAGATGCTGCCAGTCAGTAGATGGTACTGAGCTAGAAGGCAGCTTCCTATGTTTTGATTGGGTTTTATACTTTCTCCTTCAAATGCTCTATATCTTGGCCCCAAGGTATTTTATACATCAGACTTTTCAAGCATAGTTGAATAAACATCCTCCTGCAGCCCATAATTGTGAAGTTGACATTATTGTTCCCCAAGGCAATATGTGAAGGGGTGTGGAACTATTTCTTGGACTCTGCAGAGAATAAGAATAAATCACTGTGGTTCTGATAAATGTAAGGCGGTAAATATCTCTTCTGAAACCTTTATGGGAGCAGCTGCAAAGAAGAAGAAGAAGAAGAAGAAGAAGAAGAAGAAGAAGAAGAAGAAGAAGAAAGTTTACTCAATACATGGTTCAAGGATTGGCTGATCTTTATTGACGCTAGATCAGGTCAAATTTATATAACACTTTAGTGTAAATAGACCCTCCCAGTGGTTTATAAAAAGTAACAAAAATTATAAATTTTCAATAAAAGACAATGTTGAAAACAGCTATTTTAAATATTCAAAATATTGTAAAATAAGCAATGAAGCTAAAGATAGATAAAAGCACATGCTAACTTCTACATATCTGAACCCTGATTCTGAAAACTACCAACATGAAGCTACGACTGTTGGAGCCAGTGGAAGACAGGAGTGCCTGGCGTGCTCTGGTCCATGGGGTCACGAACAGTTGGAAACGACTAAACGACAACAATTTTTGAAATAAAAATTATCCAGTCCAAAAGTGGAGCGGTCTCCCTCTGGAAGTTGTGGACTCTCCTTCCTGGAGGTTTTTAAGCAGAGGTTGGATGGCCACCTGACCTGGATGCTATAGCTGAGTTTCCTGCATTGTGGGGGGGTTGGACTAGATGACTCTTGGGGTCCCTTCCAACCCTACAATTCTATGATGCTAATAAAACCCTTTGTTTTATTTTGTAACCTTCTGATGAAAAAAGATAGTTGAACATGGGGGTGAGTGAACATTCAAAACGAAAAATCAAGCCACACAAAATGAAATACCTGCACCCCTAGTGCAAAGGAGCTCAACATTGTGTCTGTCCCAATGCTTCACTTTGGCACAGGACACAGTCACTTCCGCACCATACATTGAAAGCATTCTTTGGCCAACACTCATTACTTTCTCCAAAGAATCCTGAAAACAGTAGTTTGTTTGTTTGTTTGTTTGTTTGTTTGTTTGTTTGTTTGTTTGTTTGTTTAAGGTTCTGAGAGTTGTTAGGTGACCCCTACAGATGTAGCTGTGCTGTTCTTGAATGCCAGGTCATAGAAAGACCATATTAATCCACAACTTAATCATGGATACAGTGGCTGCTGATCTGGGCTGCATTGCTGAAAACTGGATGTGTAAACTGAATGAGCCTGACCTAACACAACTGATCTCATCTGGATACTCAGTATAGGCTTGACCATGGGGTTAAAGGACAGTGTGATGCCACTAGTGTCCATAGAATTATTATCCCCTTTACCACAAAACTTCAAAACCTCTATCTGGGCAGGAGAGATAGACAGGGGATGCTGCTGGTTTATTGATCCCCTTATTGGCCAGGGACTCTCCTGGCCAAGATGATCTCTGGCATAAGGTTGGAGGACCATAATCATGTAGAGGTTGCCATAGAGCCAAACTGGGACTTCATGGCCTCCATGGCAACCGTTGGGCTGTCTCAAATGGTCACATCAGGCAGGGCACAGCCATGAGTACAAGACTGGATTACAGTGGTACCTCTGGTTACGGATTTAATTCATTTTGGGGTGCCGTGCACGCAGAGCACTTCTGTGCATGCGCGAGCAGTGAAACCCAGAAGTATACACTTCTGGGTTTGCCGCAGCCATAACTCAAAGATTCTGTAACCTGGAGGTTACGCAACACGAGGAAAATTGAACTGAAAGCTGCATAACTTGTTTTTCTTAGCTTTTTTTAGATCAGTGTAGATCCAACCCTTTAGTGGTTGCTGGTTTGTTACTGGACCAAATGCAAGGTGTTACAAAAAATCCTAAGAGCTTGTCAGCAGTTGACTTGTGGAATTGCCTTACTCTGTATGTTGTTGTTGTTTAATCGTTTAATTGTGTCCGACTCTTCGTGACCCCATGGACCAGAGCACGCCAGACACTCCTGTCTTTCACTGCCTCCCGCAGTTTGGTCAAACTCATGTTGGTAGCATCAAGAACACTGTCCAATCATCTCATCCTCTGTCGTTTCCTTCTCCTTGTGCCCTCCATCTTTCCCAACATCAGGGTCTTTTCCAGGGAGTCTTGTCTTCTCATGAGGTGGCCACAGTATTGGAGCCTCAGTTTCACAATCTGTCCTTCCAGTGAGCAATCAGGGCTGATTTCCTTAAGAATGGATAGGTTTGATCTTCTTGCAGTCCATGGGACTCTCAAGAGTTTCAAAAATAGTTAATTTTTATTCATCCAACTGCTTCCATATGCACAATATTAATAACCTCAATATGGTTCCCTGCTAAAGTTTTATTTACGGTATCTCAGCAGCATAATTTAGGAGAGGAGTAGGATGAGGGTAGGCCTTTTGATTGTTGTGAAGGATTTCAATTTAAGGTCAGCTTTCTAAAAGTGTGAGATTAATCAGCTTGATTGCAAATTGTAGCTTCCTGTTATCAGGACTCAGTCTGGTGAAAGGTTTGCCAGCTAGTTAGACTATACCAGAAGACACACAAAAATAGGTTAACAAAGAGATTTTTTTGAAAAAGAATCAGAGTCCCTAATATTTAAATAAATCAAAAGATGAGAGCAATAGAAATCAATATATACATCAGCACAGATGTATCCAGAGAATGGGGCTTCTCCCTCGAAACAACTGCTTCCGACAAGGATAAAACCTCTTGGTCTAAAAAGACCTGTTTATATACTTCCATATTGCCTTTGCCAAGCACCCTTTGTGATGTTCAACATTCTCATTGGTTAGCATAGATTCCGGAATATATTACTGTAGATGTTTTGGTGGGATACTACCAAGGGACAGATATAGATTAATAGAAAGAAAAAAACACAGGATTTTTAAAACAAGTAAACATGTGCATTAAGATATAGTAGGGGTTCAAATCATTGACAGCTGAAAAGGCTGTGTGGTCCCAAAATAACCAGCAATAAATAATCCTAACCGTAATCATCCTTTTGTAAGATCAACGAAGTGCCCAATCTGCATTAACCTGCATGTTGATTGTGAATTACTCTGGTCACTGAGATGGTCACCATACTGTGGTAACTCTGTTCTTTTGCAATCCAGAGAGACAAGTTATATCCCGTATGCTATAGGACTTTCAACAAGACCTGTTGGAGACCAGTTCTGGGTTTGCACACCTTTCATGTAACATTTATTTCATATAGTCAAGTATACATTAATACATTGGTACCAAGAGGATCAAACATTCACACACACATTCATTCATCCATACTCACAAGGGCCCTCCATGTGGGTTGATCAAGCCTCACGCAAGAGCTGAGTGTGTCGAGTTGTAGCGCTAATCCCAGCAGCACTGAGGGCATGCAAAAGGGTCCTTTATATAGTCTTCTTTCTCATTGCCAGCCATGGGTTGTCTGCAGAAGAGCTATCTCCACCTCTCTCCTCCTGCTCTCCTCCTGGACCATCATAAAAAAAACCCCTTCACAGTCGTACAGTATGTACGACAGACAGTATGTTCCGGACCTTTATCTCATGTCCGTGGCCCATTGCCAGTTCCGCCCTGTTTTGTCCTGGGCTTTTTGCTTTCAGTAAACAACACCACAGCCATACATTCCTCTTTGATAAAGACTCTCCTCCCTGGAAGAGAGGGGAGTGGTTGTGGGCGGGAGCCGGAGCACCGCCCCTAGCAGGGGGCATTAGCCCCCTGCCTCCTCCTCTCACCTGGCTGGCGCCCACGCCCCCTCGGCAGGCATCCAACCAGGTGCCTCGGAGGGGGCGTGTTCAGCAGCCTTATGCTGCGGTGCCAGCCTCTCCCTGGCCTCATTCTTCGCCGTCGTCTCGTCGCGAGTCATCACAGTCATCACAGGGAAGAGCCACGAGGTTTGGAGTCGGGGGAGGGGCTGTGTGTGTGGAGGCGGCCTGGTTCCTGGCTTGCCTTTTAACTTTAGGAGGCTTGCGTGCACTCATTGCTTTACTGCTTTTAAAACCCAGGCATCCAGGTTTGCCTTGCTGTGACCTCTCTTCCGTTTAAAAACCTACATTTAACCTTCTATTTCCCCCCACTCCTGGTGCTTGATTTGTTTGTGTGGTCTGAGTGCGAATTACCTTTCTTAAGCTGCAGCTTGTTTCTCGCTTCGCTTGTCAGCATATCATGCATTACGAATTCTCCATTTTCTTTTGGGCCTAACATTCATACTACACATTCACGACAAGATGATATGCAACCTAGAAACAGTATAAGCTACAAACAAACTTATTTTGTCAAGTGAACACAGTTCAGGTCATACAAACACTTCCAGGATCTACAAATCATTACTCAAAGCCGTACGCTATTAGCTTCCTCAACCTGACTCCCTCCGGATGTTACTCAACGCTTAAAAATGTAAACTGGCCTAATGTTTTGTGAGGTGGTAGGAAGGAAACACTTTACCAAATAAATAATTACTGCTGAGCATTTATAAGCTCATAACTGTCCCTTCTGCTGAGTGAGAGTACCACCTTCATTGCACCACCTTCATCTACAGTGACAAGTAGGGGTTCCCCAAGATCTCAGATCTCAGGCTAAGAATCACCTTCTCCAGCCTTATCTGGAAAGCGTTTGAATATATATACAGACACCCAATATTTTTGGCACTCACTGGAACCTTCTGGATAATAATATGTCTACATTTCTATGATTCCATGACATCCCTAGAGCTAAGAATACAATGCCATGCTTAGTTTTTTCTTGTCAGGTGCTCCTTCATGTTCAGATCAGGCCTCAGTATAATAATGTAGCACTTGGGAATGAAGATGCATCCCAGAAGCCCAGCACTGGAGGCCAGGATAGAGAAGACCTGCACGGCTACCATGTATTTCCCCTTGGTGCTCAGGTAGGTGGGCACAAAGGACACCCAAACACTGCAGAAGACCAGCATGCTGAAGGTGATCAGCTTGGCTTCATTGAAGTTTCCAGGCAGCTTCCTGGCTAGGAAAGCCACCGTGAAGCAGATGGCAGCCAGGAAGCCCATGTAGCCAAGAGCACCATAAAACATGGCAACAGACCCTTCATTGCATTGCAGGATAATCTCTGCAGGCTGGGAGTGCATATCAGAGTCAGGGAATGGGGGAGACAGTCCCAGCCATAGGATGCAGATGAGAACTTGTACAATGGAACAGGAAATGACAATGGAGTTGGCCAAACCCTTCCCTAGCCATCTCCTCACCCTGTTCCCCGGCTTAGTGGCCAGGAAGGCCAACACCACCGTGATGGTTTTTGCCAGAACAGAAGAGACAGCAACTGAATAGATTGTGCTAAAGGCTGTTTGTCGGAGAAGGCAGGTTGCTTTTCTTGGCTGGCCGATGAAGAGGAAGGAGGACAGAAAGGAGAGCAGGAGAGAGATAAGGAGGATGTAGGAGATATCCCTGTTATTGGCTTTGACTATTGGAGTTTCTTTGTATTTAATGAAGATTCCTAACCCAAAGCCTGTGGTTAAGGATAAGAAGAGGGCAAAGGAAGCCAGGAGACTGCCTAAAGATTCTTCATAGGAGAGGAAGGTGATTACTTTTGGGATACATTGACCTTGGTCCTTGTTTGGATGCTGATCTTTTGGACAATTTTTGCATTCCTTAGCATCTGCGTAGAGAAAAACACACTTCAGTATCCTAACATCATTCCTAATATCAGTCACACACCTACAATGGTTTGAATGTTGTTTCAGTTGTGAAGTAAAAGTAGGCAGAAGGGAGAGATCACGAAAGAACACTGTTTTGTTGGGAAGAAGAGAGGCAAATGTTCACTGCTAGAAAAATCTTAATCCAGTGACTCATTCCCACAAAATCATCTTGTGCAGCATAGCTAGAAAAACTTTCTGTGTGAGATGTTTCAGACCAGGGAATCAGAACATCAGACCACTAGGTCAAACGTGGCCCAGCATGTCTCCTCATTGGGTGATACTATTTTTGTAAGATGTCAGATGGGTGAGGCTTCAAGGGATCAATTAGAAGCTTAAGCAAGGTGCATTGCAATCCACCCATCAGGTGATGTATCGTGAGCATGTATTGGTTAAGTAGGCGGAAGTGGTTTCCATCCATTGGAAACGACTTCTCCTTCTCAATGTAGTTATTGAAACCTTGAAAAATTACATGTTCAAGTAACAGCGTGGGGTTTGTTGGAAAGTCTCTTTCAAATGCCAATGTGCTACTTTTTGGAGCCCTAAACACCAGAGGATTATGGAGCAGTTTGAAGCTGCTTGCAAAGAATTTCCTTTTTTTTTAAAGAATATTTATTCCAGTTTTAAAGTTACAAAAAATATAGAAAAAACAAACCACACACATCTTACAAAAAACAGACAGTAAAAAAGAAATAAGAAAGACAAAAAATCACAGTAAAAAATAACAAAAATCAAATTAGACCATTACAACCTTTTTCCCTTTTACAGTGGTGCCTCGCAAGACGAAATTAATCCGTTCCGCGAGAGTCTTCGTCTAGCGGTTTTTTCGTCTTGCGAAGCAAGCCCATTGACGGATTAGCGCTATTAGCGCTATTAGCGGTTTAGCGGCTATTAAAGGCTTAAAGGCTTAGGGGATTAGCTGCTAAAAGGCTATTAAAGGCTATTAAAGGCTTAGCAGATTAGATAAAGGGGGAAAGCGAAAAAAATCTCAAGACTCGCAAGACATTTTCGTCTTGCGAAGCAAGCCCATAGGGGAATTCGTCCTGCGAAGCAACTCCAAAACGGAAAACCCTTTCGTCTAGCGGTTTTTCCGTCTTGCGAGGCATTCGTCTTGCGGGGCACCACTGTACTTGTTTCCATGACTTCCTCTCACCTCCCTGCTTTGTATTCTAGTTTAAATCGTATCTCCAGCAAATCCTTCTAACCTTCTTTTCTTTTACTTATTTTAACATTCGAAAGTATTTAATTCTCCTCTATCCTCATTTTACACTTCATATTTACTTATTCCATTATACCCTGTCTGCCAATACGGTCTAATATTCTTCTCCAACCTTTTCTAACATTCTTTTATATTACAGTGTTTCTGAAGATATATTTTAATTTTTTTCCAGTCTTCTTCCATCAACCCTTCTTCCTGATCTCGAATTCTGCCGGTCATCTCAGCCAGTTCCATATAGTCCATCACTTTCCTCTGCCATTCTTCTCGGGTAGGCAATTCTTGTGTCTTCCAGTATTTCCCAAAAAGTATTCTTGCCGCTGCTGTCGCATTGCTTGCAAAGAATTTTCAGACAGCCTCTCACTGTGCGTTGAATTGCTGACACTCAGGGCTTTAAAGCATGAATTCAGCTGACATTGCTATTGCATCAGGTGATTGACAAATTGGCAGCAGCACCCAGCTGCTACTTTTGGCCTGGGAAATGAAGATCTAGCATGAAGACCGGTTAAAGGGATCAATGGGTTGACTCAGTATAAATGCAGCTTCTTGTCATGTTCCAGTATTGAGAAGCATATGTGTGAAGCCCAACTTCATTTTATTATATTATATATTTTATTATAAAAAATCACATATTACATTTGGATCTTATTCCTCCAAGGAACTTGAGGTAGTATAATTTTTCATCACCACCACCATCCCTGAACTGCTGGAGACCTCTGAGAAATAGGCAGGTCCTCTCACTGGTAGTAGTGCGGACTGACTCCATGGCAGACCAATAAGACTCCTGAGGTCACACATTTGGTGAACCCAATACTGACTGTCTTGTGCACTTGTCCCTCACCCATCAAAATAGCTCCCAGGACCAGATTCACTGACATGACTCCCTGCAACATTGGAGGTGATTTAAAAAAAAAAAAAAATCCAGAATGATTCTACATGTGTGAGCTGGTGGGCAAATAAATTTTCCTGCTTCTGGGGAAACATTGCAGGCTGGCAACAGGTGAAACCTCTCTGGGGATGGCATTTCATTTATGGGGTGTCATTGGTAGCATCATGTTTGGGTTGGCTCAAACATTTGCCCCATCCTCCCATCAAAGGCCTTTAAATCCTCTGAGATCCTCTCCTACCTTCCACAGTGGAGATTGTCCCTTCTGAGCAAGGAGCACAATCATAGCAGCACACTGGTTTTCCTTCCTGAATCTTCTTGGCATATCCTGGGAGACAGCTTTCTGTGCATCTTGAGCGAGGTATGGTCTAGGCATAAAGAGAAGATTGAGCACTAAGGAGAAAGTATTAGTAATATTTCTGCCTTTGGACACAGATCATAGGACAGGGAAATAACCATGACCTTACTGTGGGAGTGTATTTTCTAATTTCATCCATTCTTTCAACCAACATATACATGATGTTTCATAATATAACCTCAAATTCCTGCATTGCAGGGGGCTGGACTAGATGATCATTAGGGTCCCTTCCAACTCTACAATTCTAAGATTCTATGCTTCTATGTACTATTCAAAATGGTGTTAGAGCATAGCAGATGTCATAGTTAATAACATAACATTTCTCCTACCTTCTTAAATAGCTTGGGCCAGACAATTGCTTCTGGGTTAATGGTGAACTTCAGATTTGAGGACCCTTGTCTCTCCATTCTTCCAATTTTCACTCTAGCAAGAGAGTTATTAGGAAACAGCACCAGATTCACAATATCAAAGTCAATGGTCAGTGCCCCATTCTCATCCAAGTACTGTCCATCAGCTGAAGTATTAGAGTAGAACTGGACTTCTTTCAAGAATGGATGAAGCTGTAATGACAGAGGAGTCTCCAGCACCGAGAGAACATCAAACCATGTTCAGCCCTTCTTACTCTGCTTTCTAAACTTCTCTGAACAAGAACCACTGTCTCTCTCATCTGGACTTGTAGTGACCATTCTAGATTGTTAGGTCCCCTCATTCTGCTTCAGAATTTTGAGGATGACCAAAGTTAGCATAATTACATATATTAGGAAAGGTTGATTATAGTGTTTAGAAAATATGTAAAGAATGACGAAGATGGCTTTATTAAAAGTTTGCAAGCATATTGATTAATGATAGTCTAAAATGGTAGTGCTTGCATGAGTGTGGTGTAGTGGTTAAGAGCGGTAGACTCGTAATCTGGGGAACCGGGTTCGTGTCTCCGCTCCTCCACATGCAGCTGCTGGGTGACCTTGGGCTAGTCACACTTCTCTGAAGTCTCTCAGCCCCACTCACCTCACAGAGTGTTTGTTGTGGGGGAGGAAGGTAAAGGAGAATGTTAACCGCTTTGAGACTCCTTCGGGTAGTGATCAAGCAGCATATCAAATCCAAACTCTTCTTCTTCTTCACTGAAGTATTTTCCTCTAGTCCTAGCCTGCTTATTAAATTCTGTAAAAAGTCAGCTCCAATATCCATATTAGATCTAGATTCTGCATATTGTGACATTTCAAAACTGCCCTGATTTGGGAACCTTTCTGAATTGCCACGCTATGCAGTGTATGAGGCTGATAATAAGTAGATAATTTCTGGAATTAGAGTTTCATTCCAACCAGCTCTACAGCCTCTCTATGTTGAGCTGACTTTGAAGTCTGTCTGTAGGTTGCTGTCTGCAAGTCTGCAGGAATATAGCACTGAATCTGTGAACCCGGCCTCCTGTACAATGATGGGCCATTTCTGTTGTGTCCCACCTTCAACTCTAGGAGGATTCCTGTCCCCTAGGAACCTGGATCGGAAAAACACTCATTTCTGCCAGCAGGTGAAAAAAACGTTATTGTATTATTTTAACATTGTATTGTATTTTCTTTTCATTGCATTTGCATGAAAAACACCCTGGGATCATGTTGATGTGATGAAGGGTGGCTTATAAATTTGTATGAATAAATGAATAAAATGCATCACTGCAATGCTTAACTCTGAATGCAAATTGATGAGTGAAGAAGGGTAGCCCAATTCTCAGAGCATCTTTTTTTGCACACCAAAGGTCCCAGCTTCAATCCCCAATTGCATCTCCAGGGTGAGGAGAGCGGGGAAAGATACCCTTCCAGAAACAGTAGAGAACCACTGCTAGTCAGTCAATGTAGACAGTGCTAAGCTAGAGAGGCCAATGGTCTGACTCAGTGCAAGACAGTTTCCCCATGATCCTATCATGGTGATTCCAGAGCTGGGACAACAAATTGCAGGTTGCAAAAGGAAAAGGACATACCTGCCATGGCTCTAGCCTTGAAGGTCCAAGCTGCCTCCTCCACCCACAATCGACATCCTCTTTGACCTGGAAGAATATGCAGCATTCAAGGCCTGTGCCACAGTTTGGATACTAAAGTAATTCACGTAGCTGTCTTGGGACAGGATTCTTTCATTCTCTTCTTGGGGCAACATCTCCAGATTCTCCTTCTCCCTGCACTTTGTCAAACTCCTCACAGATAAGGCATGTTTTGGATATGAACAATCAAATGCTTTTCTCGAATAGCTTAGACTGGCTGAAGACGTTGGCCAATAGTAGTCCTTTTTCATCCTTTTTTTTGGTCTTCATTACAAAGGACAAAGAGCCATGGGCATATTGAAAGCAGGCGTTATCAAGTAACAACATTTTGTTCTGAAGACCTGTGGTTATCCAGACTTTCCTCAGTTTGTATCCTTTCCAGTAAGGATTGTACCTCTCATGATTATAAAAAGTCCATATTGAGAGTCTGCAGAGTAAACAAATACATTGACTTGTCTCCACATGGCAGGTGGTTCTTGGGGTGCCCACAGCCAAGTTTTATGTACTACTCTTTTTGTGAAGGCAACACAGATTTCCTTTTCCATCATCAGAGGTGTCAAGGTACTCAGGAACCTTTCTCCATTGTCATTGTCTGGAACAAAGAGGCCGACCCATGTCCACCTGAAATGCAGGAGGAGTTGCACCACTCCTTGGTATTGAATTTCTTCCTTGGGAGCCATTTGGTAGACAAAAGGGGACTGGACTTTATCATGAAGAACAAAGCCATAACTGAACTGGAAAGTAAATGAAAAGAAATGGATGCTTTGTTTTTCAGGACCCAGACTGGATACTTCTATGCAAATGATGACAAATTTAGTTAGTGCAACCTCAGAAGGTTTCTTTTTCTTTGAAATAAAATAGTTTTTTTATATAGTCTTTTTCTTTTTAATTCCCTACCCTACCCAGAACTCCAGTGTCCAGGTTGGCTGCTGTAAATCAGGTAGCTCCTCCTCCAGCGATGGCCTCTCTTGCAATCAATCAATGCTCAGTAGTCGAGCATTTATTTCACATGCAGAAAATACCCATTTATTTATTTAAAAAATTCTATTTGGCTTTTCACTTCACGGAAAGCAATGTTTCAAAGTTGTGTATGATGTGACTTCCAGTTTCCTGCCAACTTGAAAAGCAGTGCAGTGCCGATCATCCGATCAGCCCGGAGTTTGCAGAGGGTTCAGGGTGCCCCCTCAAAAAGTGTTGCCAGGATAGGCAACTCCAGGTTGATGGAAACCCGGTGTATATGAACAAAATGGTCCCCCACGTCTTTTGCAAAAACACCAGAAATAAAAATTTCTGACAAGCGCCTTAACCAGAATAAACATAAAATCAGACTGGAGTTCCTAGAAGGAATCTCTTTTACATACAAGAAACAAAGACGTAGACTGACAAGTGAGAAGCAGGTGCAAGAATTTTGGTTAAGATATGGCAGAGATTTTGACAACACACGCATACCACCTGAACTGTGAGGAGTGACCAGAGGTGTGGAAGAGAGAGCAACAGGAGTGGGGGGGAACAGGGAGGAATTAGATATTTTAGATAATCAAGACAAAGAAAAGACAAGACTTTAGGAAAAAACAAAACAGGAAAGGGAAACAAAGAGCAGATTTAAAAATGTGCAGTTGGAATGTAAATGGTTTGAATAATAAAACAAAAAGATATAAAATTGAACATATAATGGTAAAAGAGAACTCAGATGTAATATGCTTAGAAGAGACCCATATTGCAAAAAGGCATAGAAGAGTCCTAATTAATAAAAATTTGGGAATAGAGTTCATCACAGCAGACAAATCAAAACAGAGAGGTGTTGTCATTTTTGTAAAACCAAAAATTGAGCCTAAATTAATCTTAAAAGATGATCTAGGAAGAATGTAGTGCAGATTGCAGTACAAGGTGAAAAACTTCTTTTAATTGGAATTTATACCCCAAATGAAAAAGGCAGAATTCTTTTTTTTTTTTTAAGGAAACTGATTAACTTGAATTTGCTGATCAGAAATGGGGGATTTAAATGGTGTAATTTCACTTGACATGGACAGAACAATTAGGGGGGAAAGATACTAAAGAAGGCAGATTACCAGCAACTTTTTGCAATATGACAGAGAACCTGAATTTGACAGATGTACTCTTGAGAGTCCCATAGACTGCAAGAAGATCAAACCTATCCATTCTTAAGGAAATCAGCCCTGATTGCTCACTGGAAGGACAGATCGTGAAGCTGAGGCTCCAATACTTTGGCCACCTCATGAGAAGACAAGACTCCCTGGAAAAGACCCTGATGTTGGGAAAGATGGAGGGCACAAGGAAAAGGGGACGACAGAGGACGAGATGGTTGGACAGTGTTCTTGAAGCTAGCAGCATGAGTTTGACCAAACTGCGGGAGGCAGTGGAAGACAGGAGTGCCTGGTGTGCTCTGGTCCATGGGGTCATGAAGAGTCGGACACGACTAAACGACTAAACAACAACAACAACAACAACAACAACATAATAATAATAATAATAATTGCTTTTCCATGAGGCAGCAAATATTGCCAAGTGTGTTTGACCCAAACCCAGTTTTTACCTGTGGGATCTTGTAGATACCTGACAAACTTGCAATGTGCATGGAGATGTCAGATTCACCCCCTTCAAAAACAGCCATCAGCTTTTTCCACCTTCCACAGTTGTAGTTTGGGATATTGATTTTCCCACCAGCAAGGAGGTCTATCAGAGCATCAGAAGTTGTTCTTCTATCAAAATAGGTATCATAGATGCTGTAGCCCAGAGTGATGTTGGGTAAGATACTCGGGTTCTGATTGATTTCTTGAGTGGCAAGCAAGAAGGAAAGAATCTGCCAGACTCTCCCACTCATCCAACTGTAAAAAGTGTGTCACAGTGAAAATGATTGTTACATTCTTTTTTGTGTAAATCAAGACAAATATGAAAGGAAGCTAGTATGAAGGGCAAAGTGGGGCAGAGGTCTACCAATATCAGTTTCCACAGTATCTTTGGAAAGGAGGAGGATGGAGGGAAGACAAGAACACAAACCAGCCCCTTTTCTAGAGACCTCTTTGGCCAACCCATCAGTTCCCATGGTTAGCAGTTGCCACTTTTCCCAAGCACCTCTCCTTGTATTGCATAGCTCACAAAAATTGGACTCTGATAATGGTTTGCATGTTTCTAAAGGAGGCACGGGAAGCGTAGCTCTTCACAGCAGCTAAGAGTCTTTGTGAAGTTGGGTTCTGTAGGGCACCAGAGACAAAGTCCACAGAGCCAAATTGCTTCCACAGACTGCCTTAGACTGGCCTAAGCAAAGTGGACATTTGAAGTTTGCAGTTTATATAGATGGTGTTGTTGCTACTGTGGAAGGAGAGTTGCCTTATTCACTTTTCTCTGTGAGAGAACCAATCTCTCCTCTAGAATATTATTTCCAGTTGAGTGTGGGCAACTTCCCAATTTTCATGCTCCAGTGCTCCGTGAGAGACAATGAGAGAATCAATTTCCTTTTTTTTCTTACTGCAACAAACATACCTCACATATTTTTCTATTTTATATAATACACTTGGGCAAGTCTGACTGAAATCTTTTACTGTTATTAAAAGTCAAAAGGCATTGAAATGCTACTTTTCAAGAAGTGGAAGGATGCAAAGAAATCTTTTAATTAATAAATGAAATAAATCACAGGACCCCACAGCAACACCATTTTTGCTCAGGCCCCCAAGAGAGACCGTCTTACCTTCAGTCAGTTTCATCTCACAGGTTTAAAAGCAAAACCCTTTATCAGGGAATCCAGGGGGGAAAAGACTGACCGAGATATATCAAGAGAATTGGAGAGTCGGTAGGAAACAAAAATACATCAATAAGTCATTACTTACAAGTGAACCTTACTTAAGGGTGGGCTGGAAAAGGTGAAGGAAATTTCGTCGGTAATGAAACTTAAAGATATTACTCCACCAATGAGGTGATGTCCTGAGTTGTAAAAATTCACAGGAGAATTTTGATCCCTGTTCAGATTCAGTGGGCATTTTGTCCTCTGCTGCATCCCGTAGGTTGCAAGAGGCAGCAGCAGCAGCAGTGGTATCATTCTGGGTCTGTCTGCTACACTTCCAACTAATTGGAAGAAACCCTAAACTGTTGCAAGACTGTTGCAAGCAATTGCAGTTGCTTGACAAATACAGTTCTGTCTTTAGAGTGAAAGGTGAAAATCCACAGCTCAGTGGTACAGCATGTGTCTTGGAACCCAGAAGGTGCTAGGTTGAATCTCTGCTAACTGTCCCAGCTAGGGCTGAGAATGTCCTCTAGCTGGAGAGCTGCTGCCAGTCAGTTGACAGTTCTGAGATAGAAGGCAGCTTCCTATGCTCTGATCATGCGGCACACAGTCTTCTCTCAGCCATTTGCCTGCCTACATCTTGCCCCCGAGGACTCTGTGGCACACAATATATTTTATACACAAAGCCTTTCAGGCAAATAACCACCTGATGCCCCTGACTGGGATGTTTGCGTTTTTGTTCCCAAAGGCACCATTTGAAGGGTGTGCGAGAACTCTTTGACTCTGGAAATGTTAAGAATAAGGGTCAAGAATAGATCGGTGTGGTTTGTTAATTGTTCAGGGAAGCAATCTCCCACCTGAAAGCTTATGGGAATAGGTGCAGTTCAGGAGAAAAACATGTTGACTCAATAGATTAACATGGATCACAGAGGGAAAAAGTTGACTTTGGGTGAACTTTATTGAGACCTGAAGAGTCCAGAAGGCCCATCAAGTATGGTATCCTCTTCTCTCAGTCTGTATGTTTAGCTGTAAGTTGCTTTACCCTGGGCAAGATAAAGTGACCAACAAATTTAAATAATGATAATGATAAAAATTAATAATAATATGAACCTGTAATAGACGCACCTGTTGATTATTCCAAGTGAAGGAAAGGAAGTGAAAATGTGCTATAAACAGATTTATTTTGGAAAGTGGACACAGTTCAAGTCATGCAAATCACTCAGGGACCTGCAAAACATATGTTCCGGAGGTCCATTCTTAACCTGAAACAGTATTTAACCTGAGGCGTGCTTTCCCTAATGGGGCCTCTTGCTGCCACCGCGCCGCTGCTGCGCGATTTCCATTCTCATCCTGAGGCAAAGTTTGTAACCCAAGGTTTCCTGGTTTGCGGAGTTTGTAACCTGAAGTGTTTGTAACCCGAGATGTTTGTAACCCGCTTGCAGTATATCCAAATCTGGGAGAGTTGTGTACAGCTATTAACAAAATAAAAAACAACAAAGCCAGTGGATCTGATGAGATACCTGCCGAAATCTTCAAAGTGGGTGGAATTGAACTTACACAACAACTTCACAAGCTCATCAAAAAAATCTGGGAAAGAGAAGAGATCCCAGCAGGATTTAGGGATGCCAAAATTATAAATCTCTTTTAAAAAGGTGACAGAACTGATTGTGGAAACTATTGAGGCATCTCTCTATTAGCTGTGGCCAGCAAAATTCTTGCAAGGATCTTAGCAAACTGTCTCTTAACAATATCTGAGATGACCCTTCCTGAATCCTAAAATGGTTTTTGGCCTTCTAGGGGGACAGTGGACATGATTTTCACCGCTCGACAGCTTCAAGAAAAATGCAGAGAGCAAAACCAATCCCTGTATATGACGTTTATTGATCTGACTAAGGCTTTCGACACTGTAAATCGTAATGCCCTGTGAACTGTCCTTCTGAAAATTGGCTGCCCAGATAAATTTGTAAACATCATTCAGCTCCTCCATGATAATATGTCAACAAAAGTAGCAGATAACAATGGCTTTCAAAGTGAACCATTTACAGTGGGATCAGGTGTTAAACAGGGTTGTGTTATTGCCCCAACTCTATTCATTATTTTCACTGCCATGATCCAACACTTTGTGGAAGGGAAACTCCCCACCAGAGTAGAAATCATATATCGAACAGATGGAAAGCTCTTCAATCTGAGCAGGCTGAAAGCAAAGAGTAAGGTAGAGGCACAAATACAAGATGGGTGACACCTGGCTTGAGAGCAGTACATGTGAAAAGGATCTAGGAGTCTTGGTTGACCACAAACGTGACATGAGCCAACAGTGTGACGCGGCAGCTAAAAAAGCCAATGCAATTCTGGGCTGCATCAATAGGAGTATAGCATCTAGATCAAGGGAAGTAATAGTGCCACTGTATTCTGCTCTGGTCAGACCTCACCTGGAGTATTGTGTCCAGTTCTGGGCACCACAGTTCAAGAAGGACACTGACAAACTGGAACATGTCCAGAGGAGGGCAACCAAAATGGTCAAAGGCCTGGAAACGATGCCTTATGAGGAACGGCTAAGGGAGCTGGGCATGTTTAGCCTGGAGAAGAGGAGGTTAAGGGGTGATATGATAGCCATGTTCAAATATATAAAAGGATGTCACATAGAGGAGGGAGAAAGGTTGTTTTCTGCTGCTCCAGAGAAGCGGACACGGAGCAATGGATCCAAACTACAAGAAAGAAGATTCCACCTAAACATTAGGAAGAACTTCCTGACAGTAAGAGCTGTTCGACAGTGGAATTTGCTGCCAAGGAGTGTGGTGGAGTCTCCTTCTTTGGAGGTCTTTAAGCAGAGGCTTGACAACCATATGTCAGGAGTGCTCTGATGGTGTTTCCTGCTTGGCAGGGGGTTGGACTCGATGGCCCTTGTGGTCTCTTCCAGCTCTATGATTCTATGATTCTATGATTCTAAGGTTACCGTAACTTCCGTAATAGAGCTTCAGTATGCTGATGACAATGTCGTGTGTGCACGCTCAGAGGATGACCTCCAAACCATCCTAAGTATCTTTGCAGAAGCTTACGAAAAGCTTGTCCTATCACTCAGCATCAAAAAAACCAAAGTGCTGCACCAACAAGTACAAAATAACCCCTCTGTAGTGCCACAAATCCAACTCAATGGCATAACTTTGAAAAATGTCAACCACTTCTACTACCTAGGCAGTTATCTTTCCACAAGGGCCAACATTAATGCTGAAATCCAGCATCGCCTGAGCTCTGCAAGTGCGTCTTTCTCCTGATTGAAGTGCAGAGTGTTAGAGGACCGGGCCATTCGCAGAGAAACAAAAATTTCAAGGGACAGTCCAGAATTTACAGAAGCCGGAAAATCCCAGAATGTCCCACTTTTTCTTAGGACATCCCTATTTGAATTGAAGAGATGTCAGAGGGTATGGGTCATGATTTCCCAGGTTTATTCCAATCCTTGGGAAGAATTTGTGTACCAACATCTAGTTCCATATATTTTAAAGGGGTTTCATAGATATGCAAGTTTCCATAATCTACAGTACAATTGAGAACTAGAATCCTTTCCCCTCTCTACTCATTATACTTAATCAATATTCAGATTGTGTTAAGGGTATTAGAGCTTGTGTTTTTGCATGTTCTTTTATAATAAAACTATGAATTTAATTAAAATAAATCCAGTATGTGTTAAGGTTTGACAAAATTAATTTTAGTTGGTTAACAGAGAACAGTTGATTATTGGTATAGAAATCTCATAAATTGGATTATTCCTGTTGGGGGTTCAAATGGTTGATTACTGGTGTCTTTGGGACTGTGCCACCTACGCCCCCTAAATTTTCAGCAATCAATAATTTGAACAGTTAATAGACAAACCAAGGAAAAAGAGGGGGAATCAACACATGCTATAAAGCTATTTAATCTGTAAAGTGAACGCAGCTGCAGTCATACAACTGCTTCAGGGATCTGCAAAGCATACTATACAAGCTTCCCCAACCTGACTCCTGCAAGGTGTTACCCAACGCTACCTTCCTGATCCTTGGCTATAGAGGCTGCTTTGAACTGGAGAAGGTGGATTCAAATGTTTGCTTAATGTTTGCCTGTTGATCTATCAAGAAAGATGGTCACCCTAATTCCAGTGGAATTCAACTAAAGAATGATTTGTCTCTGAGACTTGGAAGTGACATGCTCCCCGAAGTATGGGACACAAACTTGAAGGAAGCAGTGGTGGTCTCCAAGCCAAGAGCTGCTTCTTCAGCTACTGGGGAGCCAGGCCAGAGTTGGCAGCTTATAAGGGTCAGAAGCAGACTAGAAAAATGCACTATAAATGACTATTACCGTTCTCTCTTGGCTAAGGTGGTCTCTGGCATGATGTTGGAGGACCATAATCATGTAGAGGCTGCCATGGAGCCACATTGGGACCTCCATGGCAACCCTTGGACTGTCTCACATGGTCTTTAGTCTAACATATCGAGCACATCACATCAGGCAGCACACAGCCTTGAGTTCAAGACTGGATTACTGCAATGAACTCTATGTAGGTCTTCCTTTGTGTCTGATTCAGAAAGCAGTCAGTTCAGAAGTGACTGTCAGGAGTAAGACCTTGTCAGCTTATAATAATTCTATCCTCAGATCTAGGGCTAATTTAGACTGGTGAGTTATAACGTTATAAATGTGTTATAAAAATGTGACCAGGGGGCTCTGTACAGCAGTCAATGCAAAATTGAACTGAGAGCTATATAACTTGTTTTTCTTAGCTTTTTTTAGATCAGTGTTGATCCAGCCCTTTAGTGGTTTGCTGGTTTCTTACTGGACCAAATGCAAAGTGTTACAAAAAAAAATCCTAAGATCTCGGCACCAGTTGACTTGTGGAATTGCCTCACTTTGTATACGTCCACTCAACTGATTCAGTTTGTAGAACTGGCACTGTTACCACTTAATACTCATTCTGTACTGATAATAATTTAATTTGACAGCCCATACATTTTGCCACTCCCTGCCTATTGAAATCTTTACTGGAGTCTCTTTTTTTGTCCCTGGGGAAACCATTTTTATTCAGGGTTCAGATATGTGGAAGTTGGCAAGTGTTTTTATCTATTGCTAGCTTCATTGTTTATTTTACAATATTTTGAATATTTAAAATAGCTGTTTTCAACATTGTCTTTTATTGAAAATTTATAATTTTTGTTACTTTTTATAAACCACTGGGAGGGTCTATTTACACTAAAGTGTTATATAAATTTGACCTGATCTAGCGTCAATAAAGATCAGCCAATCCTTGAACCATGTATTGAGTAAACTTTCTTCTTCTTCTTCTTCTTCTTCTTCTTCTTCTTCTTCTTCTTCTTCTTTGCAGCTGCTCCCATAAAGGTTTCAGAAGAGATATTTACCGCCTTACATTTATCAGAACCACAGTGATTTATTCTTATTCTCTGCAGAGTCCAAGAGATAGTTCCACACCCCTTCACATATTGCCTTGGGGAACAATAATGTCAACTTCACAATTAAGGGCTGCAGGAGGTTGTTTATTCAACTATGCTTGAAAAGTCTGATGTATAAAATACCTTGGGGCCAAGATATAGAGCATTTGAAGGAGAAAGTATAAAACCCAATCAAAACATAGGAAGCTGCCTTCTAGCTCAGTACCATCTACTGACTGGCAGCATCTCTCCAGGTAGAGGACATCCTCAGCTCTACCTGTTATCAGGTAGCAGAGACTGAACCTGACACCTTCTGGGTGGGAAAAAGATGCTCCATCACTGAGCTATGGCCCTTCCCTTCAATCCTAATTTGGGCAGAGCTGAACACCCCTTGCATTTGTCAAGTCACTGAAGCCTCTGTCTTGCAAATATTTGGGGTTTCTTCTAATTAGCAGCTTGTGTGGACGGGAACAGTCACAAGGAAGAGTAGCAGGCAGACCCAAAATGATGATGATTATTATACCGCTGCTTGTTTCGTTGCCTCTAGCAACGCATGGGATGCAGCAGAGGGCAAAATGTCCACTGAATCTGATCAGAGATAGAAATCTGACTGTTAATTATCACCGGCAAGGAGATCACCTCATTAGTGGAATTGTATCTTCAAGATTAATTGGAAATCAACTTCCCTTTAGCTTTTCCAGCACCCCAGTAAGCGATTTTGAGAAGTAAGTAATGGTGTATTGCCATACAGTGATACCTCGGGTTAAGTACTTAATTCGTTCCGGAGGTCTGTACTTAACCTGAAACTGTTCTTAACCTGAAGCACCACTTTAGCTAATGGGGCCTCCTGCTGCCGTCACGCCACCAGAGCACGATTTCTGTTCTCATCCTGAAGCAAAGTTCTTAACCTGAAGCAATATTTCTGGGGTAGCAGAGTCTGTAACCTGAAGCGTATGTAACCTGAAGCGTATGTAACCCAAGGTACCACTGTATTCCTTCTTCCTAAACTACTCTCCACTTCCCTTGCTGTGCTGATAAATCACTATATTTGTTGTTTGAAGATTAAGGGAGCATCTCATCCACTGGAATCAAATACAGCTGGAAAATCTGAGTACTGTAGGAGTATTGCAGGCATCCGTCTGTCTATTTTTCCTGGAGGTCTAAACAATAATACCATTGGATGGAGACCTGTTATTTGTTCCATTTGTTTATTAAAGTTTTCTGTACGGCACTTTACTTGGTGAAAAGCAGTGTATCAATGTGCTTTCTATAAGCTAAATGTGTTTTCTATAATGTGTTTTCTATAAGCTAAAAAGCTGTGAAGGGTGTTTACGTCGCAGCTTTTCTGTAGTTGTCTCGTTGTCTCTCGTGAAACATTGTGGAAATTCGAATGCTCTGACCATGGCCCTTGGCATGAATAATGGGAAGTTTCCTACTCTCAATATACAATAACCTTCTAGATGTTTATCCACAGAATTAGTTTCCCAGGTTTGACTCACTACCCTTACCAGCAGAATGAAGACAGGGTATGGCAGGCTGTTCCTTTATAGATTTGTGCAATGATAATTGGAGCAAACCATCTTCAGTAGGAACTGAACAATTCTTTCCCCCAGGCACAACATAACCTATGCAACTTCAAACTGCAGATGCCTGCTATCCTCAGACAGCTGAAATGCATCCTGTGCGCTAAGATTGGCTCTGGGGACATTTTCTGAGGTGCTCAGCAGAGCTCAACAGCCGTAAGTCTTTTTGGCTGGTGTGAGTGGTTGCTCTTCCCAAATAGCACTACAAACATGCAAACCATGATTGGGGGACCAGTTTTTGTGAGATATATAATGTCTAGAGTGATCTTTTGATACAGGGGCAGCTAGTAGCCACAGAACTGGTCAGAGGGCCAAGGACATTACCAGAACATGGGCCTCCATCCTTCTCCTTTGCAAAGGTACTGCAGACGCTATTACTGGTACACCTCAGCCCCACGTTGTCCTACTTTCTGGCCTCCTTTCACGTTTGCCTTGATTTATACAAACAAGTACGCAACTCATTTTCACTGAATGGTGGGTGACTATGTGACACACCTTTTTGCAGCTGGATGGATGTGAGGAACTGCCACGTTCTTTCCTTCTCACTTACTGCTCAGGAGATCAATTGTAACCCCAGGCTCTTACCCAACATCACCCTGGGCTACAGCATCTATGATACTTATTTTGATGGTAGAATAACTACTGATGCCTTGACAGACCTCTTTGCTGGTGGGAAAATCAACATTCCAAACTACAGCTGCGGAAGACGGGGAAACCTTCTAGCTATTATTGAAGGGGGTGAAACTGACATCTCCATGCACATTGCAAGCATGTCGGGCTTCTACAAGATACCACAGGTAAGAACTGGGCTCAAGTCAAACATACCCAGCAACATTTGCCATTTCATAAGAAAAGCAAGGTATGCTTAGCTTAGTGCAATTTATTTTATTGCTCCCTGCCCCCCAACCAGTTGCAGCCTTTGTAGCACGTTGCTACATAAATTTTGCCCTACCGGAAATTGGCGCTTTCAAGTGCTGTTATTGAGCTTGGCACGGGAAAGGTTGCCTTCGCTGTTCCATGAGGCTGCTATCTCTTCTTACAGCTCCAGGAACTGTTAAATAAAATTGTTTAATGTACAGCGGTACCTTGGTTTATGAACAGTTCTGTTTGCGAACTATTCAGTTTACGAACTCCGCAAAACCGGAAGCAGTGTTCCGGTTTGCACACTTTACCTTGGTTTACGAACAGAAGCCGAATGGTGAAACAGCACCTGCAGTGGGAGGCCTCAATAGGGAAAGCACTCCTTGGTTTAATAATGGATTCGGTTTAAGAACAGATTTTCAGAACGTTAAGTTCGTAAACCTAGGTACCACTGTACATTGAAATGGGAACTAAATTTATAGTGTGCCTGTATTGTATACCACGAGGCATGGTTGGAAATTTCCACTGAAGCTGAAGAAGAGCTTACTAGGTTAATCATTAATGGGGTTGTATCATGGAACTGTATGTGTATGTCTACTGGTTCAATCACATGAAAAAGATAGTATTAGAGGTCCATGCCTATGTTAATCTGGGAGATATCCATGTTTGGGTGTGTGCCCTTTGTTTGAAGCTACTGAAGAGAATGGATGTGTGAATCTGTCTCCAGCAAACAACCTCTGGCTAATGGAGACTGAAATGGCATGACACCAGTAATGAGCTGCATGGCACCACAACTGCCACCCAGCAACTAGGTGAATGGAATTTCTCCAAAAAGAGGGATGTTGAATGTGGAGTACCTCAAGACTGATATGATTTAGGAGTGAAGAGGGAGATGGCCAAGTTTTCTGATCATACTGAATTGTTCTAGATTGTTAAACCAAAAGCAGATTGTGAAGAGCTCCAAATAACTTCTCCAAATAAAAAGGCACATGCAATTCAATATAAACAAGTGTGAATTTATGCACGCTGAGGGGAAAATCAGCCTTAATTTCACATGTTTGCTTCTGGGTTCTGAACTGGCATTGACTGAACAGAAATGAGACCACAGGGTCTTGGTAGATAGGTCAATGAATATGTTGCCTCTTCAGCATTTGTCATGTAAAAGCAAATTCCATGCTAAGTACACCATCAGGAAAGGAATTAAAAATAAAACTGTCAATCTCATAATATAGTTATACAGACCTATGGGGCCGCTGCCTTTGGAAGACTGTGTACATTGGTTTTTGACACACCTCAAACAGTGTACAGGTTAAACTTTATTCGCATTAGCCAACAGCAATGGCAACATAAAACAAGCAATATATACAAATAAAAAGACAGCAATGGGTAAAAAGGGCAATCAAATGACCAAATGTATTATAGAATTGGAAAAAAGTTCAGAAAAAGATATTGGAGATGATGTGGTTATATTCAAAAGGGACCATTGGAAAACAGTGCTAGAGCTCCTGTCCATGCTGATAACACACAATTCTAATTTTTCATAAGATTTCAATCTAGGGGAGTTGTGCATGATGTAGAAACCACTCTGGGTGTCGTGGTGGACTGACCTCCCAGACCTACTGAAGGCTTTATTGTTTTGCAGGATACATTTTAATGGAAGTGTGATTTTAGACTTTTGCATTCATAATTTTGTTCTATTGTATTTCTCTAAACTGCAGAGAGACAATTGCCATTAGGTGATAAATAAATTGCATATATATGAAATTTCAAAAAACATTGAAGCTTATGCTAATTAAATGTTTCATCATATTTGATTTGATTTGATTCACACAGAGGTATCCAATCTTTGTCCTGAGAAACAAAACACCAGTTTCTTTTCTTCAACAGCTCAGTTATGGCTTTGTTCTTCATGATAAAGTCCAGTCCCCTTTCATCTACCAGATGGTCTCAAAGGAAGAAACTCAGTACCTGGGAATTATCCAACTCCTCCTGCATTTCAGGTGGACGTGGGTTGGTCTCTTTGCTCCAGACAATGACAATGGAGAAAGGTTCCTGAGTATCTTGACATCCCTAATGATCAAAAGGGAAATCTGTGTTGCCTTCACAAAAAGAGTACTACTACAAACCTGGCTGTGGTTACCCCATGAAGCCCCTGCCATGTGGAGACAAGTCAATGTCTTTGTTTACTGTACAGACTCTCAATATGGACTTTTCACAATCATGGAGGTACAAACCTTGCTTGAAAGGATAGAAACTGGGGGGAAAGTCTGGATAATCACCGCTCTTGAGAACACAGTCTTGTTCTATGAGACGGAATCCTTCCGGTATGCCCATGGTTCTTTGTCCTTTGTAATGAAGACCAAAAAAAAGATGAAAATGGACAACTCCGAACCAATATTCCCTTCTGTTTTGGATCTTTGGCAAGAAGAATTTGAATGTTCATATTCCAAACATGCCTTGTCTGTGAGAAGTTGGACAAGATGCAGGGAGACGGAGAATGTGATGATCCAGCAGGAATTTATTGAACAGGTTCATTCCCAAGATAGCTATGTTCATTACTTCAGTATCCTAGCAGTTGCTCAGGCCTTACATGCAGCATATTCATCCAGATCAAAGCAGATGTCACTGATGGGAGGAGGAGACCTGTTGGAACTTCAAAAGATTCAGCCATGGCAGGTATGTCCTTTCCCTTTTGCGAACTACTGTTCATTGTCCCAGCTCTGGAATCACCATATTAGGAACATAGGAAGCTGCCTTAAAATGAGTCAGACCATTGGTCTCACAAGTAGCATTGTCTATATTGACTGACTGACAGGGGGTGTTATGTACTGAAGTTGTCACCCTGGGCCAGCAGGGGGATACTGTAGATAGTTATGCAAATGAAGGATTGAAAAGTGACGTTCAGTGATTGGATAGTTTTAGAAAATGGCAACAGTTGCATTGTTCTGGAGCTCTATATAAGCAGGCTGACTGAGCTCCTCAGCCTAGTTCTGTTCTGGCATCTGAATAAAGAAGAGCTGTTTAAAGAATCGCTGTGTCGTCTGACATGTTCGCCCACAACTTAACAGGGAAAGTGAATTATCCATAAAGGTTTCATGTTCTCTGAGTCCTGGAGTTTCCTCTGTCGTTGTAGCTTCATCCATTCTTGAAAGAAGTGCATCTCTATTCTAATACTTCACCTGATGGACAGTACTTGGATGAGAATGGGGCATTGGCCATTGACTTTTGATATTGTGAATTGGGTCCTGTTTCCCAATACCTCTCATGGTAGAGTGAAGATTGGGGAAATAGAGAAACAGGCATCCTCAGAGGTAAAGTTGACCATCAACCAAGAAGCAATTGTCTGGCCCCTGGTCTTTAACAAGGTATGGAGAAATGATATGTCATTTTATTACTTGTGACATCTGCTAGGCTCTAATAGCTCGTTGAATTGCACATATGAGACTTTGACTGCGATTTTACTGATACAGTGGTACATCGGTTTACGAACTTAATCCATTCTGGTAGTCCGTTCTTAAACCGAAACTGTTCTTAAACCAAGGCGCGCTTTCCCTAATGAGGCCTTCCGCCGCTGGTGCTCTTCCACTGTTCAAATTCGTCATTATACCGAGGTAAAGTTATCAAACCAGTTTTGTGGAGTTCATACACCGAATAGTTCATAAACAGGACTGTTCTTAAACCGAGGTGCCACTGTACTTCCCTCGAGCGAAGTCATTGAGATGAATGGAACAGCCTCTTGAGTATGTATAAGATTTCACAGTGAATAGGAGACTTTCCTAAGCACAGTCAAATAGCTTTCCCAAATGTAAGGTCTTCCCAATCTGTTCAGAATATCCAGAGGACAGCATGTATTTCCTGTAGGGACTGTCAGGAGTTCAGCCTACACTCGAGTAGGATCCTGGTAGAGACACATGCCCAACTGGCATGTTCTCTCCCTCCTGGCCGATCGTGCCGGAGCTTCAAAAGCTTTCTTCTGCCCGAACATCACAGTGACCAATGCCAACCAACGCTGGCACACTTAGGGATCTGCAGAGTTTGTGCATTTCGCGTGACAGACCTCAGCAACTCAGCATTTTGGCTAATCTACTTTATTTACATATAAACACACACGGAGCACTGCAACATGGCTCCCTCCCTCTCTAGCATCAGACAGCAAAGAGAAAAAGAACAAAGGACAATAGTCCCATTTCACGGAACACAGTAACACAAACATCCTGTCTTTGTCACTTCCCACACTGTGGTGTCAAAACATATACCGTCATGTGATAGACAACAATCCTATGACTGAAATCAAGTAGCAGGAATTCTAACAGGGACACCCTGCACCCACCCACAAATATTAATCAGAACTGGCAATTATTAATCACCTGCCAAAATAGGGCCTCGGGTCACTTATGGCCATTGGAAGCAAATATATGTTTTCCACAATCCCGCCAAAACACTGTGATCTGTTTCCAAAAGCACAAATGCTCCTAATCGTTTCTCATTGATTCTCCTTCCTCAATTTCTGCCTAGACCATGCCTCATTCAAGATGCTCACAGAGCTGTCACCCTGGATATGTCAAGAAGATTCAGGAAGGGAAGCCCCCCTGCTGCTATGATTGCACTCCCTGCTCAGAAGGGACCGTCTCCACTCAGGAAGGTAGGCCAAGACCTCAGGAAAAACCGTCTTACCTGGGAGGATGGGGCAAAGGTTTGAGCCAGCCTAAGCATGATGTTTGTAATGGCATCCCATGAGTGAAATGCCTCTCAGGTTTTTGGAGGTTCAAAGAGCAGCACTAGGAGGGATGAGCAGTTTTAACGGGGGGAAAGCATGTCCACCTCTTTGATCAATGCACACATGCACAGGTCATCAGCTGACAATTATGCCTTTGAAGCCCTACCCATCACACAACTCAAAAAGTGGCATCACCAAATGGGGTGACCTGCTGAGCTAAGTTTAATCCAGTGGCCAGAGGTTCCCAGCACCAGTTTACACTTAATAGAAGCGCTTCTGAAATATCTCACAGGCCAAGCTTTTCTAGCCATGCTCCACATGATCTATTTTGGTGGATGAGACCATGGATCGAGATGTTTTTGCCAGTGAACTTTTGCTTCTCTCTTTCCCAACAAAACTGTGTTCTTTTTTTATCTCTTCTATATGCCTACCTTCCCCATATGCCTAGCTTGGTTTACAACTGCTGTTAGGATACTGGAGTCTCTTTTTCTCTCTGCAGATACTGCCAAATGCACCAAATGTTCAAAAGATCAGCATCCAAAGAAAGACAAAAATCAATGTGTACCCAAAACAATCACCTTCCTGTCCTATGAAGAACCTTTGGGGAGCATCCTAGGTTCCTTTGCCATCCTCATATCCTTAGCCACAGTTTTTGTGTTAGAAATCTTTATTAAATACAAAGCCACTCCCATAGTCAAAGCCAACAATAGGGATCTCTCCTACATCCTCCTCATCTCCCTCCTTCTCTCATTTTTGTCCTCCTTCCTCTTCATTGGCCAGCCAAGAAAAGGGACCTGCCTTTTGCGCCAAACAGCCTTCAGCATCATCTTCTCAGTTGCTGTCTCTTCCGTCTTGGCAAAAACCATCACTGTGGTGCTGGCCTTCCTGGCCACTAAGCCAGGGAGCAGGGCGAGGAGATGGCTGGGGAGAAGTCTGGCCAATGCTGTTGTCATTTCCTGTTCCAGTGTCCAAATTCTCATCTGCACCACCTGGCTGAGTACCTCTCCCCCATTCCCAGAGTCTGACATGCACTCCCAACCTGCAGAGATTATCCTGCAATGCAATGAAGGGTCTGTGGCCATGTTTTATGGTGCCCTGGGCTACATGGGCTTCCAGGCTGCCATCTGTTTTATGGTGGCTTTTTTAGCCAGGAAGCTGCCTGGAAACTTCAATGAAGCCAAGCTGATCACCTTCAGCATGCTGGTCTTCTGCAGTGTTTGGGTGTCCTTTGTGCCCACCTACCTGAGCACCAAGGGGAAATACATGGTAGCTGTGCAGGTCTTTTCCATCTTAGTCTCCTGTGCTGGGTTTCTGGGCTGCATCTTCCTTCCCAAATGCTACATTATTATACTGAGGCCTGATCTGAACATGAGAAAGACCAGAAAAAGCTAAATATGATATTTGATTATTAGCTCTAGGGATATCATGGAACCGTAGAGTTAGAAGTCCACACCAGAATATTGGCTGCACTGTGCAGCTAGCCATGTAAATGGTGAGGCAAAGATCCAATAGTGTGCTTACCATGGTTCCCTTAGCCTCACATGTAATGGAAAGCAGGTAAACATCTACTGGTGGATCTCTGGATTATATTCAGAATACCTCTAACAGGTTCTGATACCTGGTTCTTCAGTAACAGCAACTGTAGAGATCCGCATTGTTGTTTGAGATCATTCCTGTGCCAGGCTCCTTTCTCTTGAGTTAAACTGCTCATTACTCTGAGCTGAATTGCATAAGCTGCTTAAGAAGTTGCAAACTGAATTGTTAAAGTACTAAATAAACTTAGCTAAATTAGAATAAAGTCACATTAAGACAGCTACATTTGATTTGATTAATTATATTTCTATGCCACTCTTTATTAGATTGAATCGCAGAGCAGTTTATAGACTATAAATAACAACAGAATAACAATAACAATAGACACAAAAGAAGAATGGTTATGCAAGCTGACCGAGTACTTGGAATTCGCGAAGCTAACAGATGTCTTAAGAGACAAATCTAATAAAATAGTTAAGAAGGAATGGGATCATTTAAACAACTACCTGATGAATCAAGGTTCAGCACCTAAGATCTGGTTGTGCCTAGAATAACACTGCAAAAGCAATAAAGTCCTGATACCAAGATCAGGAATCAATTGAAATACAGGAAAGTATCTTTACTAAGAACAATGAACTGTTGCGGTATTGGCAGAAGTCTTTATTTGTTGTTTTGTAGGTAGCTTTGTATGTGGTTCTCTGTGTTTTAATTTAAGAATCTGTTTGTCGAGAGCCAGTGTGGTGTAGTGGTTAAGAGCGATAGACTCGTACTCTGGTGAACCGGGTTCGCTTCCCTGCTCCTCCACATGCAGCTGCTGGGTGACCTTGGGCCCGTCACACTTCTTTGAAGTCTCTCAGCCCCACTCACCTCACAGAGTGTTTGTTGTGGGGGAGGAAGGGAAAGGAGAATGTTAGCCGCTTTGAGACTCATGAAGGGGAGTGAAAGGCGGGATATCAAATCCAAACTCTTCTTCTTCTTTGTAAAATATTAGTCTAACAATGAATGATTTACTGTTATCCTAGATACACACACACACACATTCCCCCCCCCGTTTTCTTCCCTTTTTTCTCTTTTTCTTCTCTTCCATACTTCTCCTTTCTTTTTTCTTCTTCTATATTATGATTTTACTTTTCCTTATTAATTTTTGATTCTTCTTTTATCTACTTAATCAGTTTGACGACTGTAAGTTTTGTTCTAATTGTTTGTGTATGCAACATAGTTCAACAACAACAACAAACAATAGTGTAATAGAACATCACAAATATAGACTTACAGAGAATAATGAACAATTCATTGGTATAACAATTACAGCTCATTGGCGAAACCATTACTAATAATCAGTAAATCAATTACAATTTATAAAACACTGTTAACAAAACACCTTAAAAATGTTATATTATAGGATTCACAAAGTACTATAGCATTTATAATTTATAAAACAATATTAACAACAGTAACATAATAGCAACTCAAAAAATGCAAAGCACTCTTTAATTCCCCTCACCCCAAAATCTATCATTCTATTCAGTCCATTAAAAGACACAGACACATAATGCCTATGGTAGCAACTCCAATCTGCAGGTTCCTTGGGCTGGAGGTGCGACAGCACAGGTGAAACCAAGCACTGTAGGATGACAGACAAATCTCTCCCCCCTCACAGTTCTTCCTCTGGAAACAGCTCCCTCATGAAGGCTCCTAGGGCTGGAGGGTAACGCAAAGCAGTGGAAACACCATTGCCTGATGACCAGCACAAAGTCTCTCCTCGCTCACCATCAAGGACACAGGTATAAGGTCTTCTGGGAATCTGCAAAGTTGATGCTCATTTACAAAGAGTTTGCGGAAGATAAATATTTTCAGAAAATGGATCCTGATGAGGAATAAAAGTGCAAGGCTGGGAGAAAACTTAATACATGGAAAGATGTGACTGAAAGTTTTGGTTTTGGACAGGATGTGGACCTTGATTTTAGATAGAAAGGAGATGAGTAGTCTCAGGAGAAGTAAAGTTGTCAGAGTCAGACATAAAGAAAGGGGAATGTGGCTAAAGTTTTGGGCAGTGTTATGTACTGAAGTTCTCACCCTGGGCCAGCAGGGGGATACTGTAGATAGTTATGCAAATGAAGGATCGAAAAGTGACGTTCAGTGATTGGATAGTTTGTATGCAAATGAAGGATCGAAAAGTGACGTTCAGTGATTGGATAGTTTTAGAAAATGGCAACAGTTACATTGTTCTGGAGCTCTATATAAGCAGGCTGACTGAGCCCCTCAGCTCAGTTCTGTTCTGACATCTGAATAAAGAAGAGCTGTTTGAAGAATCACTGTGTCGTCTGCTATGTTCGCCCACAACTTAACAGGCAGAATGTGGGATGTATGTGATAATGACCTCGTGTAGGTATGTTCTGGAATCTATGCTAACCGAAGGGAATCTGAACAGTTCGACATCACAAACGATGCTGGACAAAGGCAACAGAACCTGGAGCTTTTTGCGTGAAGAGGTTCTCTCCCCTTCAGAAATAAATGAACCTGGGCAGAATCTGGAAACATATTTGCAGCTTTGCATGTGCCAGTTTATATTAATCCCTTTTTCTCTTAAGTTACATGAGAATCTACCATAGCATACTGCCCATCCCCCCTAATTCTAAGGTGTCCAAATAATAAAACAAATGTCCATAAATATATAGAGTGGGCACACAAACATAGCTACATAAACCGGATTCAGAAGCGGTGTAGGGGTCCCTTAAATGACCCCAAATGTTTCTCTGCAGTAGAAGGAAGTGTCTTGGGGGGAAAGGACATTTTCTTTTTCTTTTTTTTTTAAATGATATTTATTAAAAGTTTAAAAATTACAGGAAAAAGGAAAAAGAAAACAATTAAAAAGAAAAAAAAACATAGAAAAGCAATACAACAATACAGCAAAAAGAAACAAACCCCCAAAAAAACTAAAACACACATCCAATATTCCATATCTTTACCTTTCCTTTACTTGTTTCATCAACCTCCTTGCACCTCCCTTTTTTTGTATTCTAGTTCAATTCACTATTTCAGCAAATTCTTCCCATCTTTCTCAATTTTTGTTCTATAATTTATCTTAACGGCCTAACCTTAAATTTTTTCAATTTAACCCGTTATCAATCAGCTTTTACTTAATTCTTTGTTACATTTCTACTAAAACCATATAGCTTCATTCCAGCATCCTTCTAACACTCATTAATTTTACAATGTTTCTGTAAGTATACTTTAAATTTTTTCCAATCTTCTTCCACCGACTCTTCTCCCTGGTCTCGGATTCTGCCAGTCATTTCCGCCAGTTCCATGTAGTCCATCAGCTTCATCTGCCATTCTTCCCTTGTGGGTAGATCTTGTGTCTTCCAATGCTTTGCAATAAGTATTCTTGCTGCTGTTGTAGCGTACATAAAGAAAGTTCTATCCTTCTTTGGCACCAATTGGCCGACCATGCCCAGGAGAAAGGCCTCTGGTTTCTTCAGGAAGGTATATTTAAATACCTTTTTCATTTCATTATAGATCATCTCCCAGAATGCCTTAATCTTTGGGCATGTCCACCAAAGGTGAAAGAATGTACCTTCAGTTTCATTACATTTCCAACATTTGTTATCGGGCAGATGGTAGATTTTTGCAAGCTTGACTGGTGTTATGTACCACCTATAAATCATTTTCATTAAATTCTCCTTTAAGGCATTACATGCCGTAAACTTCATACCAGTGGTCCATAACTGTTCCCAGTCAGCCATCATAATATTATGTCCAACATCTTGTGCCCATTTAATCATAGCAGATTTCACCATTTCATCTTGAGTATTCCATTTCAACAGCAAGTTATACATTCTTGACAAATTCTTAACTTTAGGGTCTAACAATTCTGTTTCCAACTTTGATTTTTCCACCTGGAAGCCTAGTTTTTTATCCAAGTTATATGCCTCCATTATTTGATAGTAATGGAGCCAATCTCGTACTCTGTTTTTTAATTTTTCAAAGCTCTGCAGTTTTAATCTGTCACCCTCTTGTTCCAAAATTTCCCAATACTTCGGCCATTTGGCCTCCATATTGAGTTTTTCTGAGCCTTTGCTTCCATTGGTGACAACCATCTTGGGGTTTTATTTTCTAACAAATCCTTATATCTTATCCAAACATTAAACAGTGCTTTTCTTACAATATGGTTTTTGAACGCTTTGTGTGCTTTAACCTTATCATACCACAAATATGCATGCCAACCAAATACATTATTGAAACCTTCCAAATCCAAAACATCCGTGTTTTCAAGAAGCATCCATTCTCTCAGCCAACAAAAAGTGGCTGATTCATAATAAAGTTTTAAGTCTGGCAGGGCAAATCCACCTCTTTCTTTAGCATCAGTTAATATCTTAAATTTTATACGAGGCTTCTTGCCCTGCCAGACAAATCTAGAGATATCTCTCTGCCACTTCTTGAAACAGTCCATTTTGTCCAAAATTTGCAGTGTTTGAAACAAAAACAGCATTCTTGGCAAGGACCTTTTCAAATAGTTCACTTTCTCATGTAAATCCTATAAATAAATAAACTATTTGGAATGAAGAGGCCTGCTTCTATGCAAAACCAGTCTGGCAGGTATCTGTTAAGCAGAGCAGACATGTCAATAGAGCATCTTCTTCTGAGACAAGCCATACTCTCACATTTCTGTTGTAGAACACCGCTTACTGTGACATGTGTATGATGCTTTCTTGGGTGGTCCTTGGCTAAGGGACCAGGCAATTTCTAAAACCTTTAGAAATTCTTGCACATCTTGTCCTGGGTCCTCACCTCCTATCAAAGCTGGTAGGGGAACTTCTGTTGCAACAGAATAATAAAGTTCTGCCTTGCTTTCACTGGTTCTTGCCTCAGCTCATTTTTCTTTGACCTAACATGAACTTGAGGGGCTCTGAGTCCTTTAACAGGGAGTCGGGCTGTTAAAGGCACCCCCCCCTATTTTCTGGTCACACCTACCTGCAGATTTATTTTCTGTATTAGGACTCTGATTCTTGAAATAAAATATCCTTCTATTACCTATTTCTGGTGCCTTCCTGTATAGTCTTAACAGCTGGCAAACCACTCACCAATCTAGAGTCTGTAGCACAGCTGGAAGGAGCTGTCTGCAGTCAGAAATCTCTGTTTGATTATCCTCACACTGTCAGAGGAATGACCCTAAATTAAAATTCTTCACAATGACGACAACAAGACCTTGCCCACCCAAACCCTAAATTGGGCTACTTGGTTGAGAAAAATTGAGGGGGACTAGGAGAGGAATTTCATTTGACAATAGCTCCTGGCAATTGAAGAAATGTTTCCCCTCCAATATTGGAGAGAGGATGCTCTGAGTACCAGTTGTTGGGAAACACATGTAGAGAAAGTGCTGCTGCACTGATCTCCAGCTTATGGGCTTCTGTTTGGGGCAGGTGGTTGCCAATTTTGAGAACGGGATACTGGACTTTATAGGCCTTAGGCCTGATCCAGCTTCAGGGCTCTTCTGATGTCCATCATACAGCACTTTCTTCCTCCTTGAACCATGTCAGATTCCTGAGTCAACATGTTTTTCTCCTGTTCTCCACCTGCTCCCATAAAGTTTCAGAAGAGATGTTTCTTCCCCTTACAATCATCAGAACAACAGTGATCTATTCTTATCCTTCCCATAATCAAATAATCTTCAAATGTTACCTTTGGGAACAACAATGCAAACATCACAATTAAGGGCAGCAGGAGGTTATTTACTCCACTGTGCTTGAAAAGTTTGGTGTATAAAATATATTGTTTGATGTATAAAATATATTGCGTGCCACAGAATCCATGCAGTCAAGATATAGGGCAGGTGATAGGGTACAGGAGAAAGGTCATTGTGGAGCGTAATCAACAGGAAGCTGCCTTCTAGCTCAGTGCTATCTTCTGGCTGGCAGCAGCTCTCCAGGTCAAGAACATCCTCAGTCCTACCTGGAGCAGTTAGCAGAGGTGGACCGTAGCACCTTCTGGGTGGAAAAGAGATGCTCCACCACTGAGCTATCACCCTTCCCTTCAGTCCCTTTTTAGCTCTGAAGCCAGAGCTGAACAACCTTGCCTTTGTCAAGTCAATGAAGCCTCTGTCTTGCAAGAATTTGAGGGAGTGTTTCTAATTAGTGACTTGTGTTGAGAGGAACGGTCAGAAGGGAAGTGTAGCAGGCAGACCACAGAATGATAACACTGCTTTTATTGCTGCCTCTTGCAACCTACGAAATGCAGCCGAGGGCAAAATGTCCACTGAATCTGATTGAGGATAAAAATCTGGCTGTGAATTATCACCGGCAAGGAGACCTCCTCATTAGTGGAGTCATATCTTCAAGATTAATTGGAAGTCAACTTCCGTTTAGCTTTTCCAGCACCCCAGTAAGCGCATTTCTGAAGTAAGTAATGGTGTATTGGCATATTTCTCCTTCCTAAATTACTCTCCAATTCTCTTGCTCTACAAGGGTCAACCCCCTATTTTCAGGTACCCCTGATAAATTACTATTGCCTGTTTTTTGTTTGAAGATGGGGGGAACGTCTCAGTCAATGGGATCAAATGCAATTTGAAAATCTGAGTAGAAGCATAATGTTCAAGAAAAGCAACATATGCCCTCTTATAGTTTTCTCTTAAAACATAGCATGCTGTAGATTTTATATCCATATTCCACAATTGCTGCAATGCTTTCATATCTATATTATAACCAATATCTATTGCCCAATGTATCCTCCTTTATAGCTGGGTTCAAAAATAGTTGGAGGGAACCATTTTCAGCAGGAACTGCACAATTCTTTCCCCCTGGCTAAACGCAAACTATGCAACTGGAAACTGTAAGTGTTTACAGCACTTGAATGCAGCCTGTGGGGCTAAGTTTGGCTCAGGAGACATTTTTGGTAGTGCTCAGCAGAGCCCAACATCCCTAAGACTTCCTGTCTGATGTGAAGGGTTACTCTTCCCACACCCCACATGCAAACATGCAAACCATTATTTGGGGACCAGATTTGTGAGAAAGATAATGCCTGGAGTGTTCTTTTGACACAGTGGCAGCTAATAACCACAAAATTGTTTGGGTGCCCTTAGAGGTCACCACCCAGTGCTGCCCTACTTCCCAGCCTCCTTCATCTAGTAACAAAATGTATGTGACTATCATTTTCACTGCACCATGGGTGACACACTTTTGACACACTTTATGACACACTTTTTTGCAGCTGGATGACTAGAAGGGTCTGGCACATTCTTTCCTTCTCACTTACAGTTCAAGAGATTAATCAGGACCCGAGTCTCTTACCCAACATTACCCTGGGCTACAGCATCTATGATACCTATTTTGATGGAAGAACAACTGCTGATGCCCTGACAGACCTCCTTGCTGGTGGGAAAGTCAACATTCCAAACTACAGCTGTGGAAGACAGGGAGAACTGCTGGCGGTTCTTGAAGGGGGTGAATCTGACATCTCCACGCACATTGCAAGCATGTTGGGCATATACAAAACCCCACAAGTAAGAATTAGGTTCAAGTCAAGCACACCTGGAAACATTTGCCATCTCGTAAAAGAACAGGTTA